GGCTACTTTTTTATTAATTAAATTTATTTGTTTATTCTACATCCTGACTGCAGTTTTCATCTCCCTCTTCTCCTATTCCCTCCCCCTACTTCTGCTCTGCCCTGGCCCCTACTCTCTCCTCCTCTGTTTCTGTTCAGAAAAGGCACATCAAGTTGAGTTAGGACTAAACTCCTCCTTCGTATTAAAGCTTGGTAAGACAACCCAGTATGAAGGATAGGTTCCCAAATGCCTGCCAAAAGATCGGGGATAGGCCCCACTCCTACTGCTAGGAGTCCCACAAGTAGACCAAGTTGTCTACAATCCTGGGCTACTATTAATGGTCACTGATTTTTTTTCAAGGACTATGGGTAGATTTATGAATTGTGGAATAGTTTGTCCTGCTGTAAGAGTTTGGGGAGGTGACGACTCAATGTCAGTGTGAAAGACACTGGGGTCATCTTCTGTCACCACCCTCGTCAGCTGCCTTCAGGTACAACCTGTCTGTGAGCCACCACTCACCTTTGTAGGTCTTTCTGTCTGTCCTCTGACTGTAGGTCCCTTTCTTCAGACCCTTCACCAGTTTCCTTTTTTAACTAAACAAACTCAGTTTAGTCTAAGGTTCCAGGGTATGAGCCCGGCTTCCACTTGGACATTGCCTCTGCTCCTAGACCTCTGGCCCCTGAACCTTCGCCTTGTCCTACCACGGCTCCAGGCTCCCTCTCCCCCACCCAGGACCTTCACAGATGCTGTCCCTGGGTAGTCACCAAGCTTCTTCGGCATTGTGATAAGACATTGTCATCTATAAATAGATTCATGCACATTCATAGTTACCTTGGGATGCATCTGGTTTATGAGCCACAGGTTGGACAATACCTAAAAACATGGGCTTTGGGAACATCGGAGGTCCACATTGTAGCAGAATTCATGTAGTCCAAAAGCTTATGTGAGAGCTACAAGCTTATGCTCAGATAAGAGCATAAGTTCCTTCCTTTATTCCTTCCTCCTTTCCTTCCTTCCTTCCTTCCTTTCTTTTTTTTTTCTTTCTTTCCTTCTGGTTTTTTTGGTGTGTGCATGTGTGTGTGTGTTTCAAGACAGCATTTCTCTGTGTAAAGCTCTGGCTGTCCTGGAACTCACTCTGTAGACCATGCTGTCCTCAAACTCACAGAGATCTGCCTGCCTCTGCCTCCAGAGTGCTGGGATTAAAGGTGTGTGTCACCACCACCAGGACAGCATAAAAGTCCTTTAGTCCCAGGTCCACTCACTGCTGTTTTATCATCACAGTAGCTATATTTTAAACTACAAACAGCCCAACTGCTCAGGCCATAGCCTGGGGGCAATTCTGTTGCCCCCAGGCAATGGCTTTGCTGCTGCCATTAAAGGTAGCTTTAACTAAATCTCTATCATTCTAATAAAACTGGAGATTCAAAGGTTATGGTGAAAACCTGCGAGCTCGGAGAGTTAGAATAGCAACTGGCTAGCTTTCTCTCTTTGCTGGAGACCCTGGAAGCCTCTCTCCTTCCATACCACCCCAATGAAAAAACCCATGCTATACTCCTCCCTGCTGTTTCCTGTTAACTAGTTGCTAACCCCAGACCTGTGAGCCCAGGTTAATTTTATTTAATTAACACAAACGCAACACATCTTTGCATAGCTAAACAAATGCAGCACAAACAAATGTAACACATCTTTGCCTAGTTAAACAAATACTCTACAACATGTCCTCCTTTTGTCTAAATAAAAGGAAAGGTTTTAACTTTAACATAGTAAAACTATATACAACAGGAACAGTTATTAAGTAAGAATTAAATTTACAATATCCTGCCAGGCGGTGGTAGCGCACATCTTTAATCCCAGCACTCTGGAGACAGAGGCAGGCGGATGTCTGTCAGTTCGAGACCAGCCTTGTCTACAAGAGCTAGTTCCAGGACAGCCTCCAAAGTCACAAGAAACCCTGTCTTGAAAAACCAAAAAGAAAATTACAATATCCAGTTCCTTTGCATTTGGCAGATTTGGAGAAATCACTCTACTATCTATCCTATCTTGATGAGTACAAAGCTCTGTACCTAATTTACTTTCTATCATAACTAAGGAAAACTGTAACTATAACTACCTAGTCTTCAGCTCCATCCAAGACCCCAGAAGGATATGGTATTATCTGAGTAAACAGGAAGTGCAGAGCAAGAAAATTCCAAAAATATAAAAACAACAGAGACATTTGGCTGCCTGGACAGTCACCCAAGATTTCTCTGCAACATTGGGGCATCTATCTTTAGTCTACAGGCCTAGAATATCTGGCAGACTTTTTTATGAAACAAGAATTTTGAAGGACTGCCCTATATTGTTCTGGCAAAGTTCTGAAGTCAAGTTTCCTTTGTGTCCTGCATGTCTAGTTTGGACAGGAAACAGCTTCTTCCCCAAATGGCTAGCTTTGCCACAATGAGAGCTAGCTCCATATGGAGGTTCTTGGATGCCCATCATCCTTTTATGTAGTAGATTGATGCTACCAGGAGCCGGCATGTCTCGCTTTCATGAAGAGCCCTATGTTATTAAGCATCTTAAATGCCATATTCTGTAGGTGTTTGAAGCATTTGAAGATCACCTACCTAAAATATATCTGTTTAACTTTGAAAACATATCTAATGTAACTACAAGTTTGATTATTATAGATAGCTAACTACTAACTTGCATTTATTAATTATACATTACATTTTTAAAAGCATACACTCCAAACAAGAGTAGAAGCATACATCGGTATAACAAAAATAACTTTAAATTTGTATCAACATACCAAAATCTATACCATTATAAAATATTGAGGTTATAAGTTGTCTTTTTATCCTATATTCCTCTATCTCTCCTAAACAATGACAAACATCTAAGCCCCACCAAATGACCAAAAACCATGCACCCCACCTCTTGGGCATGTGGATGTCATGTCCTCTAGACTGCTTCCTGTTGTATGGAGGCAACAGCATCCCCAGGGTACCCTGAGAAAATTGAGACAGTGGTCAAGTTCTGGGAAAACTAGTTGTAACATTTGTTGTCCAGTCTCAGAACTGTTCCCATGCAGAGGGATCACTGGCTTGTATTTTTTCTTAGTTTATTACTTTATGTCTATAGCCAAATTTTTCAGGAGGTTTCCCCTGGTCAAACCTGATCTCTATTAACTTTCAAGGATCCATAAAAGGATAACCTCTCCCCCAATGCAACACATTTTCTGAATTCCATTCTAATGTTAAGAAACTCATAAAGTATTCAGCAGTCCCTTTTACAAGCCAGTGTCTCTCATCAGCTGTCGTTGCTCATCAGGGTTCAAAGTCAGCACAACACCATACAAGATCCAGACTCCCTGTGTATTTCCCATCTTTGCATGGCTTTTTTTCCTTTATATTACTTTACTCTCTCCTTAAAGACTTTATTATTTTTAAATGATTTATTTTTTCCTATGACTGTCTATACCCATTTATTTTCTTTTCACTCTTAAGCACCTATGAACATTTTTAAACACACTGTAACCTGTTTAGAGGGTTTTTTTGTTTTCACTCTGAGCCTGCTTTACTGTACACCTGTAGTGTTCTTTGACCGTGTGACTCACTGCACAGCTTTGCCCTAGTGTAGGCTCCACCCCACTGGGATCTGTGAGAGCTCAAGCTTTATGCCCCGCAGGCTTGGCAGAGAGCTGAGTTTAACTGGGAGCTGCATTTAACCGCCCCAGCTCTAGGCAGCTGGTGATTGCACTATGGCCAGCATTTTTACTTAGCTTGTTGTTTCTGCTTAATGTGCCAGTCGCCCAAATGCTTGCTGTATACTGCTCTGTATGCTATGAGCACTGTGCTACTAGGAAGCCACGTTTGGGAATTTTTTTCCGCCTTCCCTACATGAAAATGCATGACCCACATTGGGTACCATTTGTAGTTGGGGTTTTCTTTGGGCCACCATTCCCAGATAAAGATATGGAAATTTATTATTGTGAATGCTCAGCCTTAGCTTAGGCTTGTTTCTAGCTAGTTTTTCTAGCTTAAATTAGCCCACTTCTATGAACCCAAGTTTGTTTACCTCATCTACACGCGGTCCATCCTGCTCTTTTGATTCCTTTGTTTCTGGTTGGCTGGCCCCCAGCGGTCTCCCCTTTTATCCCTGCCTGCCAGCCCCATCTATCCCTCCTGTGCCTAACTATTGGTCATTCAGAGTTCTATTAGACCAATCATGTGCCTTAGGCAAGAAGGTAAAACAGCAACACGTCTTTACATAAACAAGCACAGCATAAATAAGAACAACACACGTTTACATAGTTCAACAAATGCAACACATCTTTACATAGTTAAACTAATACTCTGTTCCACAACAAGTTGACACTGAATTCTCGGTTTCACTCATCTTTAGTATTAGGCATGTTTGTAGAGAGTAAGTGAATGGTGCCTACCTTCCAGCCTACTCAAATAGATTTTCTCTGTTTTCCTGCTTCTGATTTCTGCTGAGATAATTCACCACTGTTAACTATAAAGAGAGGGTGCATACAATTATGTTAATGCATTCATTCTACTTTCATCATGCATTGGAGTCCATCCACATTTGAAATATTTACAGGAAATATTTATTATAATATATAATCATGTTCTGAGCACATGTTTTTCTAGATTGAAATAAATGTAATATAGTATCTTAATTACATGAATTAATTCATGGTGTGTATTTTAACTAAATAGTTTTAGAATAAAATAAATAGTATACATTTAGAAAACTTTTAAAATATTTAAATTCAATATTTTACCTTATTTAATGAAAGATGGGGTTTAACCCTGTGAAACATGGCTCTCTAAGCTGATACGAACAATCTTTAGTTTCCCTACACATGGGTAAACAGGACTTCTTGACGTGCCTAGGTACCTAGCCGACTAAGACCCTAGGACCTAGGCAGGATGGGCCCTTTTCCCCTCCTGTGCCTGGGCAAATGTGTCCTGCCTTCTGTACCACCCTGGTTCCTGGTACAGACTTGACTAATGGTCGCCTACCTCCCACAGGAGACAAGTGCCTGTCAGACATGCCCTATGACAGTGCCAGCTATGAGAAGGATGAAATGATGACATCCCATGTGATGGACCAGGCCATCAACAATGCCATCAACTACCTGGGGGCCGAGTCCCTGCGCCCGCTGGTGCAGACGCCCCCCGGCAGTTCCGAGGTGGTGCCTGTCATCAGCTCCATGTACCAGCTGCACAAGCCTCCCGCCGACGGCCCCCCACGGGCCAACCACTCGGCGCAGGACAGTGCCAGTGCCGTGGACAACTTGCTGCTCCTGTCCAAGGCCAAGTCCGTGTCATCGGAGCGGGAGGCCTCCCCGAGCAACAGCTGCCAAGACTCCACCGACACCGAGAGCAACGCGGAGGAGCAGCGCAGTGGCCTCATCTACCTGACCAATCACATCACCCCGCATGTGCGCAACGGGCTGGCCCTCAAGGAGGAGCAGCGTGCCTATGAGGTGCTGAGGGCGGCCTCAGAGAACTCGCAGGACGCCTTCCGCGTGGTCAGCACGAGTGGCGAGCAGCTGAAGGTGTACAAGTGCGAACACTGCCGCGTGCTCTTCCTGGATCACGTCATGTACACCATCCACATGGGCTGCCATGGCTTCCGGGATCCTTTTGAGTGTAACATGTGTGGTTATCACAGCCAGGACAGGTACGAGTTCTCATCCCATATCACACGTGGGGAGCATCGCTACCACCTGAGCTAAATGCAGCCAGGCCCCACAGAAACACAAAGGTGGCTGCCTCCGCCTCCCCCCTGGCAGACGGACCCATGGCGGACAATGTTGAGTGTGTACTTGCAGGCAGTGTTTGTTCCTTTAAGTTGGTTGTTTGGGATATAATTTGCGTTAGAAGACAAGTTTTTAATGTTAGAGACAGGATTGCATTGCATCGGGAGCATTCAGAACATCCATGCGTCTACACGGTTTTGTTGTCTGCTAGCTGAGATTTCCCTGACCAGTGGCTTTCTGACCCCCACACCCACACCCAAAGCGGAGCTGCATTTTCAGAGAACTGAATGAAACAATTATCCAAGAAAGAGCAAAGTGAACCTTGTCCTAAGCAGGGTTTATGCTGCATGGATTCTCCAAATCCCCCCAAAACATAATAGTCACTGGGGTGGGGCCATCTCAGGGAGCTCCACAGGTGAGCCACAGGACCAGAAATAAGGCAGCTGAGGAGGAGCAAGGACACAGCCTATGTGGGGACCAGGGCAGAAGGTTGATCTTTGAAGGACACTGTTAAGTCATACACCGCATGGGAACATGGTGTCTGAGCAAGTCGTGCTAGGGCACTGACTCCTCCGGGCAAGAAGGGAAGGGGACTGGACAGCCTTGGAGACTCCTCATTTGCCTCACCCAGCCTCCTGGCACTTGTTGCCCAATGAGATGAGCTCAGTGCTCCTGGGGGCACTTTTGGGTAGCCCCCTTCTCTTGTCACCCCATGCCATTAATGGTCCCAAAGCTCATCACTGCATTTTAGACGCCAATCGTGAAATTGAGATCTTACTTTAAACTTCTCATACTGTAAAATTCCTCAGAAGCCAAAGCTTTCTTCCAAGTCCCACTCTCAGTTGTCTGGGTTTCTATTCTTCCCTGGATTGGTTGTACCTGGGATCGGAACATACCCCACCAAAGCGCAACCCCATCCTTCATTTCAACTGAGTCCCTATTTTGATTATAGCTATGGCCTGGCTATCTTAGTCTGATAATTATCCTCCAGAATGACCATTTTTAGCAAATATATGGGCCCAGCATCTCAGTGGCTAAAACACAGAATATCCTTGTTTTTAAATGTTCTGAAGCTCTTCGGTATAAACACCAAGTAGCATGTGTTTTCACATAGACAGGACAGGGACCATGCATCCTTTATCAGGTAGAGGTATTAGCGTGTTGGAATGTTTGGGGTCACAGAGTGACCAGTGCAGGTTCCCAGAGAGGAATGTCCACCAGATGTCACAGGAAAGAGGTAGGTGAGTGGTAGAGGTGCGATCTGGTCCAGCCAGACCAAGACAAGGATGCTCTTCTGAAGGCAAGTCAGTTAGCTGGAGATCCCATCAGGATGCTCCTCTCTTAAGATTCAGTATTAGGGTCATTACCCTCCACCACCTCAATAAAACAAAAGGCATATACTTGTCAATGTTTACAGCATGATCTTCACAGAAACTCTCTGGGGTGATTCCAAAGAGCTGGAGGGGAAATTATCTATAGCATCTCTTAGACTAAATCAGGGGTTCTTAGTTGCAGGCCTCCTGACTCATGGAGGGCATCATCACTGGTGGGGACTGTCCTATGAATTGTAGCTTACCTAGCAGTATCCCTGGTCACTGCCCAGTAAATGCCAATAGCATCCTACTTGATTTCCAAAACTGTCTCCCAGGTGTTCTTTGGGCAAACAAACCACTGATCTAAATTTTAAGCTGGTGGAAAGTGTGGAAAGCTTTCCAAAAATCAGAAGCACTTCCCCAGTCTGCAGCCTCAAGCTGCACTTACTTCTTTGGAAAGTGGATGGATTCTATTTGCGCACTTGAGACTACACTTCCTCAAGTGCCTCTGGGTTCAGTTGCAGGAATGAAGTTCACCAAGGTGTCACTCTTAAGTGTCAATTTCTTTGCTTCCAGAACAATGTGGCATTTTGAAAGTGAAAATAAAATTGCAACTATAATGATTTACACTGAGTAGAGGGAGAATCTGAGGAACTAGAGCTGTGACAGCTTTTGTTCAATATGCAGTTAAGGAGAAAGGCTGGCCTTACCCAAATCATATATTCCAGGTGACAACCTCCCAAGCTCCTGCTCACCCTTGTCCTTACCCGTGAGAGCCACAGGGTCAGCTGGTCCAAGGGAGATGACTCCAATCCCCACCCCTACCCCTGCCACTGGCATTCAGAGGTTGAGGCAGGATTGTAAATAGTGGCTTCAGGAGCTGTTTTCTAGAATGCTTTGCCCCTTCCTCTCACTGCCTTTTTTAGCTGATATGTCTATTTGCACACCTTTTGTTGTGGTTTTATATTATAACAGCATTTTTGAAACTATTGTATTTAAGATAAGGTTTCATATTATGTCCACAAGTAATTAAATTATGTTTGAAGGTGGCTATATTCTGTATCACAAGTTGATGATGTTTTTTCTTTATCTGGTAAAGTAGGGTTTTGCATGACCTCTCTTTTTGTTCTGTGGTTTGTTCTATTGTATGATGTGTGTCTTCAGTATTGCTGTGTGATGAAGTGTGCTGAGATTCCATGCCCTTGTGTTGTCTTTTAAGTTGCTATCAGAGGCAGGAGGGTTCCTAAGAGCAGGCTGGCCTGTTAGTGACAGCTAGCAATCACCATTTCTCATCCCCTCTCCTCCCTGTTACCCCAGCCTCCTGTCCCAGGTCCCTTCTGTGCTTCATACCTTAGTGTGTGTGTCCTGACAAGAATCAGGAGCACCAATCACTGTGTTACCATTGCACTATCACCCAGAGCATGTCCCAACACCAGTTGCTTCAAATACCAGCACATTCTGTTTCCAGTTTCCAATCAACTACATAATAAAGCGTGAGTCTTCACTGAAAAACAGAGGCACTCGTTATGGAGATGGGGAGGTGTTTTATGCTTGTGTTGTATTTTGTGCTCTTTTCTCCTTTTGTTTGTTTTTGACTGCATTGTGACTTCTGCCGTCATCTTGCCAAAGCTTGAGATGAACTAAACTTAGGTAGAAGTGTCATAACATATCATCTATTTCCTCTTCTTCATTTCCAGCAATAAGAACAGATAAACTCTAAAACCGAGATCTCCCACATTTGACATCCATGGGGGTTTTTTTCCTATTTTTTTTAAATTTTACTTTAAAGTGAGCCACAATTAGACTTGACATGTACAGGCATTAAAAAGCGAGAAGCACATGGGGATCTGGTGCTACAGCACTCACTGTGAATAAGTGACCAGATGGTAACATGCAATATTGCTTGAGTCCTTTCTAATACACTATTTATAATGTTGCATGTGTGATTGCTGAGGTCAGATCCCCACGGATCTCTGCAGCTGCAGCCCTCCGCGCCCTGGCTGGCGGTGTGTGCAGAGGACGGTGAGACAATGAAGTAAGTCACCTCTGCTGCGCTGGCTCTACATAGTGACGTTAAAGGTTTCTTCTGTCTAGCTGTGAACAAGTGATCTCCACTGGAGGCATAGAGTGTCCTTTTGTACACATTTCGTGTTTTTTGTGTCGTGATAGAACAAATAAATTCTACAAACACTCTGTCTGCCCCATGCAGTGAAGTCCACACAAGCATAAAAGAAGCTCTGCCCATGTAGGAGGCTGCTGTAGTCTCTCAAACAGCAGGAGGTAAGGAGCACAGGGCTTAAGACTAGAAGTATGAGCTATGGATATACAGGAGTCACAGCTAGTCAGCTCTGCTGGCCAGCTGGGGAGTCACTGGTAAGCCTCCTGGAGCCCAGCATCACAAGAAGGTGATGGCAGGGGAGGAGCATCCAAGACTCGAGACAGAATGGTGGCTTTCACATCCTTCCCATTTTAAATAAGCACAAGAACTCCTCTCAGCCTGACTTTCTGACACTGTGGGGTGAGGTTTTCCTGTTCCTTTACCTGTTTCTCTTCCGAGGAGATTCCTGGAAAACTGCTGCTGGCTTCACTTCTAAGGAGTATGTAAATGTAAACACTGGGCTCTATTTCCGGTGTGAGCCTGGAATCAGCATTGAGGGGTGGGGGAACCAAGACTCCTGGCCCCATTTCCAGTGTTTCTCGGTCATATTTTCTATCAGCATAAAGTGATGCAGATGTCCTGTGACTCTGGCTGAAACCTCCTTTCATTCTTCAAACCCATTCAGGTTCAGGAGAAACAAAACTCTGGGCACTGGGGTTATGGCTCAGCCGGTAGAGAGCGTTCACCTAGCATGCACAGTCCCCATAACCTGTTGTGGTGACACTTACCTATAAATCCCAGGATTCTGGAGGTCGAGGCAGGAGGATCACAAGTTGAAGGTGTTCTTTGGCTCCATAGGGAGTTCAAGGGCAGCCTTTGGTACCAGACACCACGTTTCATTAAAAAAAAAAAAAGTGTCTGTTGCCTTTTGCCATGGCTTCAACTAAGACACAGCTAGGAGCAAAAGAAATGGAGCATTGAGCAATTAGTGAAAGACTCGGAGGAAGTTCTCAGACCACCAAAGTGGGAACTCCATGTTCCTCCATCATTATGGAAACTTCTGGCTCTTCCTCTGCACCAGAACCTAAAGCAGCAACCAGCTGGCACAGGCCCCACGAAGAGGTGGGGTCAGATGTAGCTGTTGCCTCACAACACCCTCCTCTTCTGCCTTTTCCCAGGCCCCTCCCCTCCACCCAGCACACACACACACACACACACACACACACACATACACACCACCTCTCACGAAACCAAAAGGGATTCCCATGGCCCCTCGAACAGCACAGCCTCTAGCAACCTGGAAGCCTTTGGCTTCTCTATTCCGCAACTAACCTCTACCCCTTAGCAAACCCACTCTGGGATTAGCACACAAGAGGCCCAGCTCCAAATTCATCAACCACAGCCCTGCTGGGTATCAGACTCCCATGTGTCCCAGAACTGGTCTCAAAAGCATCTCAGAGCCCACCCTACCCCACCCATATTGTTCAATTACAGCTTCTAGAGGTCATTTATTGAGTACTCTGGAGCTGGGGGCATTCATGGGACAACTCTCCCATCCCCAGCCATGAGGTATGGGGCCACCTCCAATATGCTAAGCAGATAGCCAGTCAATCCTAGCTCACTGAGGACCAGTTATAGCCTTGACTCTTCGGAGCCTGGATCCATGGTTGTCTGGGCAGAAGAACAATGTCTTCCCATGTGGGTCTCAAATGGCTTAGACACAGACAGGTGAGAATCAGGTGAGAAATCAAAATGCCTGTCCTGCTATTCGAAAAAGCCAGGCTTCAAAGTGTGACCACCCTGTAAGAGCAGCCTACCCTCAACACCCCAGTGGTTCCCCTAGTGAGAGCTTTGCCACGCTACCCGACTTGTGTGTCTGACAGAGACAGAAGGCCACAATGCCAGCTATCATGGGCCTCCTAGTGACTCTGTGTAAAACAATGTGGTCTCCATGACTCCTCCTGCCTCCTGAGTATCCCTACTTCAGTATCCACTGGAGTTTCGAAGCAGAGTAGTTTCCTCAGCTAGGAACATGAGGTAGGTTTTCCCCTTACAAGGCAGCCCTCTGGGCATGCCCCCAAGAGTATAGTCTGGTCATTAAGAACAGGCTTCTGGCCGGGCGGTGGTGGCGCACACCTTTAATCCCAGCACTGGGGAGGCAGAGGCAGGCGGATCTCTGTGAGTTCGAGGCTGGGCTGGACCGACAGCCTCGAAAACAATACAGAGAAACCCTGTCTCGTAAAAACCAAAAAAAAAAAAAAAAAAAAAGAACAGGCTTCTGGAGGCAACCAAGCCTGTGTTTGAATGTCTGCTCTATGTGACCTAAACTTTCTGAGGTCCCTTTCCTCATCACTGAAGGCTGGAGGGTTGTGAAGCTGAAGAGTAGGCTGGGTCATTCAAATAGCCCTCCTTTGCCTGACATTTGTATGCAGAGTCCTGTCCCTCTTACTTTACTTCATCCCCATGACAGCCAGCTCAGCCGCCAGTCCATCTGTACCCCACCTTAGAGATCAGATAGCTGTAGTCTGGAGCAGCCAGCCTCTCCTCCCCTCGCTGCACCAATCACACAGATAAGTTCTCATCACCCCAGTCTTCATAATTGCCCTGGGAGGAGCATCGCTGTGCCCATTGGACAGATGAAAGATCACACATCAGGGCTCACCTGAGATCCCAAGTCTCACAGAAAGAAGGTGCTGGGCAGAGGCAAATACGGCTACAGACCCTGGCCAAGGCCCCTCCTCCACCTGGCCCCTGCTTTGTTCTGGAGTGTTTCTTGTAAGGAAGCGTGGAGGTAAACCTGATGCTCTTGAGCCACGCTGTCATTCCCAGGGAGGGAGGGAAACACCTGTGTCTAGAAACCTGCCTTCAGAGCAGCATTGGTTTGGTCCTCAGAAGTTGCACGCTGCATCCATTTCTCAGTCCTGTCTCACTGCGAGTCCCTCTCCCTGAGACCTGCCCCTGAGCAACAAGGCCAGAGGCAGGGAGCCAGGTCTTGTTAGACGATGACAGCTGTGGAACATCTCTAGACGCCAGTGCATGGGGTGTGTATTTGGGCATCACTGTCCTCCCCAGACTGTCAATGGAAGCTGTGATCAGTACTGGGGCCGCTACTATGGAGTAGAAAACAGCTCTGGGACAGGGGAGAGGAACAGAAAGAGCAGGCAAAGGAAATGAAAATGATTGCCATGAAGAAAGGAGAGAGAGCCAGCTGAGCAGGCTTCCCCAGTTTTTATCTACAAAAGAAGAGACCAAATTACAAGCCTCAAGAAGACCAAATGAGGGATGCAGCTGAGGAAGGCCTCTGAGCCAGGTGTCTAGGATGCTCCAGGTGATGCTAAAGGCCTACAAGGTAGGAAGACATCGTGTGGGAAGAGGTAGACTCCGACCTCAGGAAGGCACCTAACAGAGAGGACAGGAGCTTCAGCTACATGGTGCCAAGTCTCAGCAAGTACCAAGTTCTTGGCCAGATTTTCCAAAAAAGAAAGAGTCTCACTGGATGTCTCCTGGATTTTTCCACTTTTTGACAAGGCCAAGAGCACAAAGTGAACACCCTTTGACCTCTGCCTCCCTCTACAATGATGACAGACGGGGGAGAGGGTGCTTAGGAAAAGATGCTTCGAGCTCCGCCTCAAACAAGTCTAGCAGGTCCCCACACAGCCACGAGTTCCTGGCCCCTGCTCCCGTAGCAGCAGGCACTTGGCGGAGGACAGGGCAGATGGGCCCTTAAGACTCAGTGAATCGGCACCAAGGGAAGCAGATGTGCCTACCGTGGTCCCCAGGCACAACTGGGAACCAGCCACGAGGGGAGGAAATTTGCATAATAGGGATAATTTGGTACCAAAACTGTCCCCTGAAGTAAACTGCATGGATCTCAGTATAGTTCAGAAATTTCACTTCTTCTTTCCCATGTTTTCTCAAACTGACTAGCTATGAGGTTTAGGGGTGTTGCCTTTATCTTTACTGTTATCCCCTTCATGAGCTGGTACCAAGCCTTTTCTCTGCCACTCCCTTGTGCC